CGCGGAGCTACTCCCTCAAGACTAGAGGGAATCCGCCACTGCCGATGGCGCCGCCTCCGGAAGTCCAAAAATGTTCCTCTTCAACCAGGCCTTTGGCCGATCAACATCTGATATCCTTTTAAATGTGTTGTGGGAGGGGGTGGGGGGAACGGGTTATTGGTTTGGTTTTGGTTTTGTTGTGTGTTTTGTGTTCTTTATCTTGTATTTTTATGTTGTGAACCACCCTGAGATTGACGGATGGAGGGTGGTACACAAATTCAATAAATAAATAAATACAGGAGTCCAGGCAGAATGTCTGGTGGCGTTGGGTGGAAGGAAGGCATCTGTGGGACTGGGAACTTTGGGTTACTCTACTGTAACAGCAGGCCCTCCCACCATAGCGATGAGGAATCTGAGCGTTTTGGTTTCTCTCCATTTCTCAGTTTCCCAAACTTAAGTCCAGTTCTCCACATTTCCACACCAGTGGATGATTTGTTTGTTTGTTTATAGGTCTCATGAAAGTTCATCAGCATTTTAATATGAATATTTCCAGATAAACACATTTTTGAAAGCAATTTCCCCTAATATAATGATTCCCCCCCTGCATTCTTTTAGCTAATATACACATTTATATGCAAGCTTTGCTCTCGTAGGTGCATTATTTGTGCATGTTACTTGGCCAGACAACTGCACCACCAAATTCAGAGAAGTACGAATTTTGAAGGCTGTGTTTCAGTTTGCGTACTGTTTCAGAAAGTGTGAGTTAGGTACAGTCGCCTTTACATGCAAACTGAATCAAGTTTCTTCCCTACCTTTAGGCCCTAGTTGTCCCGGAGGTCTCCACAGGGTGGCGCCCTTCTTCCTTGGGAGAGGTTTTACCCAGTCATGATCAGGCTGGGCTCTGACACCACCACGCTTCCTAGATGAGCCATGTGTAATCCCTGCCTTCATTTACATCATCATCATTTTATTTTATGCTGCCATTCCACAGTTAAAACAAGGATGCTTACAATATGAAAAGATCTACATAGTTACAAACACAGCAAAGCAGTCATAAAAATAGATAAAACACATCAAACACTGCATAACCAAACTGAACAATTTCCGGAAGACACAAGAACTTCCCACACTGGAGGAATGGCAGATGAAACTGATGGACTATATGGAACTGGCGGAAATGACTGGTAGAATCCGTGACCAGGGAGAAGAGTCGGTGGAGGAAGATTGGAAGAAATTCAAAGATTATCTACAGAAACACTGTAAAATTAAAGAATGTTAGAGTGATGTTGGATTGAAAATAAGTGGTTTCCAGCTGTACAGGATTTAAAGTTATAGATATACTAACATTAAGGATTAGGATTAAAGAAATTTAAGGAAATGGAAATTTGGCTTTTAAGAGGCAAAATTTTAATGTTATATTATATTAAGATTAAAGATTGGGAATAAAAAAGAGGGTATGAAATTGCTGAATAAACAATTTGAATTGGAATACAAAAGAGGGAGGTATGAGGAAGTCCAGAAAATAAGTAAATTTAAAGATGGAAATGAAAAGGTGGTATTGTTTTTAATTGTTCTATTTTCTTTTTTGTCTTTTGTCTTTCTTGTTCCTTTTTTTTCTTGTGGATTATGTATTGTGTATTTTTGAATTGTGTATTTCTTTTTATGTTTTATGTTTAATCTTTTATTGAAACTTTAATAAATATCATTAAAAAAAAACACAAACTGAACAATTTCCACATAAAAATAAAGATACAAACAATTAATATCAGTGGTAAAATAGAAAGAGAAGAGCAAGGTTGGTATAAAATTACGATCTTAGCCGGTATGCCTGTTATTGCATTAGGATGGAAAGAAAAGGATAAATGGACCATGGCAAAATGGAATGACTATGTTTTTGAATATATACAATCTGATATATTTGAACAGGTAATGACGGAAGATACATGGGAAAACAAACGTCAAAAGATTTTGAATAAAGGGACGGGGGGGGGGGAGCCAACCCAAGTATCCAAATTAGAATGAATAATCTGTGCACGTGGTTAAAGATCTGAAGAGAGAACAAGTTTTTGGGGGGAGGGGTTAAAGGGGAGGGTGGAAGGGGGGATTAGGATAAATGAGTAGGGGCAAAAGTATATACAGTCATACCTCGGGATAAATACGCTTCAGGTTGAGCGCTTTCGGGTTGCGCTCTGTGGCGACCTGGAAGTAACAGAGCGCGTTACTTCCGGGTTTCACCGCTCGCGCATGCGCAGACGGTCAAAATGACGTCGCGCGCATGCGCGGAAGCGGCGAAATGCGACCTGTGCATGTGCAGACGCACTGTCGCGTCTTGCGTTCTGTTTAGGATGCGAACGGGGCTCCAGAACGGATCCCATTCGCATCCCAAGGTACCATGGCACTGTTATGTATAACTAATAGGAGGAGGATTTTGATGCATGTTATTGTTAGATTTTCGAATGAATGAAATTTTTGTAAGTTATTCGACATCCCTGGATGCAAGTGTGAGTATAAAGAATGGGGGGAAATAAAAAAATTTAAAAAACACAATTAATATCAAAAAGAAGAAGAAGAGTTTGGATTTGATATCCCACTTTATCACTACCCGAAGGAGTCTCAAACCGGCTAACATTCTCCTTTCCCTTCCTCTCCCACAACAAACACTCTGTGAGGCACGTGAGGCTGAGAGACTTCAGAGAAGTGTGACTAGCCCAAGTTCACCCAGCAGCTGCATGTGGAAGAAGAAGAAGAGTTTGGATTTGATATCCCGCCTTTCAGTCCCTTTAAGGAGTCTCAAAGCGGCTAACATTCTCCTTTCCCTTCCTCCCCCACAACAAACACTCTGTGAGGCGCGTGAGGCTGAGAGACTTCAGAGAAGTGTGACTAGCCCAAGGTCACCCAGCAGCTGCATGTGGAGGAGCGGGGAAGTGAACCCGGTTCACCAGACTACGCGTCCACCGTTCTTAACCACTACACTACACTCCTTGCTGGGCAGCAGTTCTTATGAAGCCTGCCAGGCCCTGCCCTGGACCAGGTGGAGAGAGGCAGGAACAGGACCCTCAGGCTCTCAGCAGGTCAGACTTCACTATGCTGTACAGCCAATCAAATTTGGCTATGGTGACATCACTGAAGGCAAATGAAGTCAACTGAGAGGCAGAGCAAGAGAGCAGAAGAACATTTAACGTGCAGAGCCAAAGACATCCAGCCAACAAGGGACTCATCTTTTGAAGCTGCCAATGAAGTTCCTAAAAAACAGGGAGCCGTTTCAGCCCAGCCCTATTATATATAATACTCTCTGTAATGGATATATTTATTGCCGTGTCTCGCAGCTGATATTGAATTTATTGAATATATTGCTGTGATTTTCCCCCACCCCTTTTACCATTTAATTTACTAAGAATACAAAGGTTTGGTCTACAGGACCCAAGGGAAATCTAGGCAACACTGAGCAAAATCCATGAAATTCAATGTAGCACACTAATCATGGAGGCATTATAGTATTAATTGCTATAATGTTATACTTCTAATCCTATCTTATACACCGCAGCATGTAATTTCATTGGGGAGAAAGAGAGGGGCGAAGAGGGTGGGTGGGTGGGGGAGAAAGAATTGAATTTAGCTCAGTTGTGTAACTTAATAGAGTAGTTTGACTCCTACATAGCCGGGACCGCGGGGTTAATGCCGCCCAGAGAAATCCGCAAAGGGAGGCGCAGGGACAAACAACTTCTGACACCCACGTGGATGCCTAGATGTCGGATTCCTTGCTTTTTCAAGAGGTGCCCAGGCCACATAAACGATAATTAGAATTCGTTGTAAAGATGATTTATCAAGTCTATCATTGTGCTTGAAAAGGGTAGGTCACCCATGAACGCTGATGAAATTTCCAAGATCTCATCCCCGGGGATTTCATATTTTTTTCCCCCTTTGCATCTGCTGCCCTTTGAGATTGGGGGAAATGGCCCCAGGCAAGCTTCTCATTAATACCAACCGGAAAAATATAAGCATTTTGTCAGGCATAACATTTTCCTCCACTTGTCTACCTGACACGATCAGACCTTTAAATAACATGATAATGGGAAGCACATGAATGTCCACGAGGACATTTTTTCCCTTGTTGTTGAGTTCCGCCAAGCGGAATGCATTCCCTAAGACAGAGTAATAATTTAGTATAGACAGTTGTTGATATATATATATATATATATATATATATATATATATATATATAATCCTGGAGACTTAATGGTTGCAGTCCTGCACCTTCTTACTTGGAGATTAGCTCCCTCACACTCTGTAGAACTTGCCATGTTTTTCGCTCTATAAGACGCACCAGACCACAAGACGCACCTAGTTTTTGGAGGAGGGAAACAAGAAAAAAAATATTCTGAATCTCAGAAGCCAGAACAGCAAGAGGGATTGCTGCACAGTGAAAGCAGTGATCCCTCTTGCTGTTCTGGCTTCTGGGATAGCTGCGCAGCCTGCATTCGCTCCATAAGACGCACACATATTTCCCCTTACTTTTTAGGAGGGAAAAAGTGAGTCTTATAGAGCGAATAATACGGTACTTCTTAGTGCACATGTACAGGGGTTCTCTGTAAGAGATATAAACAATTGTTTATTTTCTTAAAAAACTATTGCAGTGTATTAGGTAACCTTGGGCCAATCGCTCTCAGCCTGACTTAATTCAGAGGGTGATTGTGAGGATGAAATGGGGAGCAGAGCAATGTGCACCACCTTAATCTCCTTGGAGGACAGGTGGCATATAAATGTAAAAAATAATAATAATTAATAATTTTGTGTGTGTGTGATCAAGCAGTTTACAAAATAGCACTTATGTCATATTCAAAAGGATGGGGAGCTTCACAGGATGGACCTAGATCACGTTATCTAAATGTTATTTCGATTATTCATTAATCCTGACCCTCTTGCAGCTAGTGGAAATGTTAAGCATTGCTGTTCACAGAGTCATAAGAGTTGGAAGGGACCTCGAGGGTCATCTAGTCCAACCCCCTGCAATGCAGGAATCTTTTTGCCCAATGTGGGTTTCAGACCCACAACTCTTGAGATTAAGAGTCTCATGCTCGACCAGCTGAGCTATCCTGTTAATATGGTTTTGATTATATAATAGTGTTGCGTATTTTATTTTAGTTCGCTCCATAAAATTTATATACCACTTGGTTGTAGAAAAAACCTCAAAGCGGTTTACAAAAGAGATAAAACAATAAAATTGTTACTAAGAAATTTGCAAGCACAACTTAAAACATACAGAAAGATGAAACCACAAGAGAGAATAGATTAAAAACCAATTAAAGCTTTCTGCAACATCTTTCTGCAACATCTGGGTAGGCTTGTCTAAAGAAGAATGTCTTCATCAGGCACTGAAAAGAATGCAGTGAAGGCGCCTGCCTGATATCAAGTGGCAAGGAGTTCCAAAGTGTCAGTGCCGCCGCACAAAATAGAGACCAAAATGTGGGGGAAATCTGAGAGCCTGGGAACCCAGACAAGTTCATTCATAGTTAACAGTAAATGTAATTTGAAAAGGATCACCAATGAGCAACTCTCTTTTAAAAATTGAACGTACCTTCTACATGCCAAGCAGTTGCTCCACTACTGAGCTGTGGCTCTTCGTTGAATTTCAGGGATAAGAAGCATCAAGGAGGGGGAAACGGATGCTGCTGCAATTTACCGGTTTACTTGATTAATCCACCAGATAACATGGGTCAGTGTGATTCCTCAATCAATAGCTTAACATATGTGTGTCATTTGGGTCTCAGCTGGAGCTGTCCTATCTTAGGGGGCTTGGCTAAATAAACAGGCTTGAAGCATGAAGATGCACCCCTAGGAAAAGCTCAGGGCCTGATCCCCCGCCTGTTAAAACACAGAATGTGCACATACTGCGCTCCTGTGTAGAGGACGCTTGCAGCTGATTCAGGAGAGCCCTGAATCCCTTTGCCTTCCTTGCCTCCCACAATAGTAATAATAATAATAATAATAATAATAATAATAATAATAGCACAAGACAACACCTGCCCCTGCTCTGCACCAGAGGTGTAGGAAGGGGGCGCGGGGTGTGTGGACTGCCCCAGGTGTCATCGCCGAGGGGGGTGACATTTGGCATCACCCACCTGCAGCTCCCAAGCCTACCCTCAGCCATCGATGTGGGGGGGGGGTGACAAACAAAAATTCTGTACCTGGTACCACCTGACCTTGCTACGCTTCTGCTCTGCACTCAATCAGAGCTCAGGATGGGAAGAAGCAGTGGTCTTTTCAAGAAAAATAGGTGTCAGAACTCACCATGAAGTTGTTACGGTGAGTCGCCAGGCAACTTGAGGCAGCCCTGAACCGATGCCGGTTTGACAACAGCTGCTTTCACCGCCCACGGAGGTGCTAAAAAAATATGGCAATCTGTCTCCCTAGCTGGTTTGGGGGGGTCACCCCTGGTTCTGGTGCAGGTCAAATAAATGCATCTCTGCTGCTCTCGTTCTCTTAGATTCAGGCGGATGACATGGGCATCCTGCAAAGCTTTAAGACCACTGCTGCTACACAAGAGACGGATTGAAGAAAAAGATATTTGATTTGGCCCATGGACATAGCCAGGATTTTTGTTGAGGGGGGCAGAACCTCAGTTAGCTATGTATTGTTATTGATTTTTATTGATTGGGGGGCAGCTGCCCCTTCCTGCCCCCCGGCTACACCCATGAATTGACCCCACCCTGGAGCTTGACAAATTGTGGCTAGGAGTGGTTAGGAGCTTGGTGGAGTCACAGATCTTTAAAACAAAAAGTGTAGACTTGCACATGCTGATCAGCTTCTGTTAATAATAATAATAATAATAATAATAATACATAATAATAATATTTATACCCCGCCCATCTGGCTGGGTTTCCCCAGCCACTCTGGGCGGCTTCCAACAAAACATTAAAATACAATAACCTATTAAAGATTAAAATCTTCCCTAAACAGGGCTGCCTTCAGATGCCTTCTAAAAGTTTGGTTGTTGTTTTTCTCTTTGACATCTGGTGGGAGGGCATTCCACAGGGCGGGTGCCACTACCGAGAAGGCCCTCTGCCTGGTTCCCTGTAGCTTTGCTTCTCGCAGCAAGGGAACCACCAGAAGGCCCTCGGCGCTGGATCTCAGTGTCTGGGCAGAACGATGGAGGTGGAGACGCTCCTTCAGGTATACTGGACCAAGGTCGTTTTAACTTGAGATGTTCGTTTCAGGCTTTTCAGAACTACGTGAAGGCAAGAAGCGGGCAGGAGGGGCAGAGCACTTCCCCAAGATGGTGCCCACCTGATACGTGGCAGAACTGTGCTCTGGCGGAAAAAAAGGACTAGACAGAAAGCAAGGTTCAGGCTAGATGCAGGCAGAGGTTCCTGGCTGGAACACAGAGCTCTGATGTTGCTTGAGCAAGAAGAAGAAGAAGAAGAGTTTGGATATGATATCCCGCCTTTCACTCCCCTTCAGGAGTCTCAAAGTGGCTAACTTTCTCCTTTCCCTTCCTCCCCCACAACAAACACTCTGTGAGGTGAGTGGGGCTGAGAGACTTCAGAGAAGTGTGACTGGCCCAAGGTCACCCAGCAGCTGCATGTGAAGGAGCAGAGACGCGAACCCGGTTCCCCAGATTACAAGACTACCGCTCTTAACCACTACACCACACTGGCTCTCAGAAGCAAAATGAGTCTGAGCCCTATATAATATCAGCATCAACATCCTAATAGTTTGACTCCTGGAAGATGCCTCTGGTCTCACTGTTCCATCTGCAGTTGCATTCTCTGAGTCTGAGGACAGCAGTGCCACATGCTCAGAGAGCCACTGGTCCTGCAGGGATCCAATAGCAGTGCTTCTGGGCAGTGCCTGAGTCCCCTTCCCGTTCTTGTTTGGAGTCCCTGGCTGCATCACCTGAAGAAGAGGAATCTGACTCCTGGTCTCTGGCAGGCAGCATCAGGCAGCAGAAAGGAACATTTTAGGGAATGGGAAGCTTGTGCTCAGAGACATATTCCCAGCCCACCCTTTTTGTTGCCATGCTGGAGCTTGAGAAACTTGTGTGGGGAGGCTGCATGGAGGGGGGAAATGAGGAGAGTGGGGTGGGGGGATATTCTGCCAAGCCCCATGAAGAGTCCTCCATGTGCAGGTGCTGCAACTGCGCTCAAACTGCATCAGGCTGCAAATAATTTGGCAACCCTAATAGAACATCTGGAGGCCTGCCAAAGTCTGAGCCTGATCTCTTGCCGCGGGCTCTGTAATATTTATGCACTCTGGATGGATTTAAAAGCCGGGGTTAAGCTGATTTTATTTTATTTTCTGATAGGCTGTGATATTAAGCATCCCCTAATGGAAATGTAATTGTGTTAGGTTTGCCTTTGCAAAGAGGGTTGTTAGGGCAGGGGTAGGCAAATGATACAATGGGATCTAGTGGGAGATCACTAGATGATTTGCTGTAGATTGGCAAAGGCTTGTAACTCCCAATTCTTTTAACGATGGCAAGGACAAAAGGCCCCCTGCACTACTAAACCAGGCTGTTATAATCCTTATAGTTATTCTAATGCAGATGTGGAGGTTCTGTTTTATTTTGTTTACAATGTTGCATGCACCCCAACAGGCCAACTTGGCCCCACGACCGTGGGTGCCCAGGGCCGTGGGTGCCGTGCAGAGTGCATGGCCCTGGCACTGAAATTTGTGGGTGCTCGGCCCCTTCATGGGGAATTTTGTGGGTGCTCAGGCACCCAGAGGCCCAGGAAGTTGGCACCTATGCACCCCGATCACTGAGTGGACAAAGATTCCAGGTGTTCCACTACTGACACCGAGAGCCAGCATGGTGTAGTGTAGTGGTTAAGAACGGTGGACGCGTAGTCTGGTGAACTGGGTTTGCTTCCCTGCTCCTCCACATGCAGCTGCTGGGTGACCTTGGGCTAGTCACACTTCTCTGAAGTCTCTCAGCCCCACTCACCTCACAGAGTGTTTGTTGTGGGGGAGGAAGGGAAAGAAGATTGTTAGCCGCTTTGAGACTCCTTAAGGGGAGTGAAAGACAGGATATCAAGCCCAAACTCCTTCTCCTCCTCCTCCTCCCCCCCTCCTCCTTCTTCTTCTTACCCCCCAGGAATGAAGGTCAGAGGAGACTGTCTTTAGGATGTATGGTTTTATTTGCACATATATACAGCCTGAGCAGAGGATGGAGAGCTCACAGCATTAACACTCCTGGCCTGACTGCAATGGCTGCTGATTAGTTTCCGGGCCCAATTCAAAGTACTAGTGTTGACCTATAACGACTCAGCACCTCAATACCTTAAGGATTGCCTCTCCCCATATGCACCAACCCAGACCCTGCGCTAGTCATCTGAGGCCCTTCTCTATGTCCCTCATCCCAGAGAGATTCAGAGGGTGGCAACTATAAAATGGGCCTTTTCTTTCAGCATGCTTTTTATTATGTTTTTATAATTGATGTACTGTAATGTGTTTTTAACATTGTTAAAACATCTTTTGATAAAGGGCAGTATATAAATTGAAATAAATAATAATAATAATAATAATAATAATAATAATAAATAATAATTAATAATAATAATAATAATAATAATAATATAATAATAATGATAATAATAACACTCAGACAGATCTTGCTTCCTTGCTGGGTTAGCAGGGAAGCCCAAGTCACAGTTTTGTGTCCAGCAGAGTGGGAGACAAGCCTCTGTCTCCCTAGCTTACCAAAACTCACAACCAAATTGTGTTCTGTTCTACCTTGCAAGGAGATGTTGCTTCCGACTAGGTGTGAAGGGTGAGGAAAGTTACCCCCATTTATGGCAGCAGGAAAATGTATTTGGACATATAAATGGTGGTACCTAACTGGCAAGCTAAGGCCATTATCTTACAAAGAATCTGGTCTGGCCAATTCAGCAGATTCTAACCTCACAGATCTTCATATTGTTAGAATTTATATCCTGCCCTTCCTTCCCAAGTAGCCTAGGATACAGGATCACAGGTGTGAAAGGGAGCCACAGGTATTATCCAAGCTGTCCCACCCACCAAACCTATAACAGCAAGATATTTTACCCACCCATCACCATAAGGTCCCAGGGTGCATGACAGCAATATAATGCAGAGTTAGAAAG